TTATTAAATTTATTTTTGCAATTATTAATTTAATATATTTAAATAAATTATTTATATATAATAGTAAAAATTTTATTAAATTTTAAATTTAGTAAATAAAGGTTAAATTATATTTGGAAATTTATATAAAAAGTTTTTTTAAAAATTATATTTATATTAATTAAATAAAATTATTATTTATAAATAAGGTTTAATTATAATATTAATAATATTTTAATTAAATTAAGTAATTTTACTTTATAAATTAATAAATTAATTATATATTAACTTTATAAAAACGATTTAAAAACCTTTTAAAAAAATATAAAAATTTAAAAAAAATATATAAATTTAAATATATAAAAAACGTAATTTAATATATTATTAAGTTTTTAGATTTTAATAAAGTTATTTAATAATTTGGAATTATTTTTTAAAATTATATTGTTAAAATTTTTTTTAATAAAATTATTAAATTGGTATATTTTAAATAAAGTAAAATTTTAAATAATAATAAAAAAATTTTTGTTGTAATTTAAAAAATTGGTTAGATTTATAAGAATATATTAATTAATCTGGGATTTTTAATAATAAAAGAAAAACTTGTTTTAATAACGAAATATTTAAAATTAAGTTAATAAAATTGTGGTAAAAAAACCTGTTTTAATTTAAATTAAAATTAATTTTTAAAAAGTAAAAATTGGTTTAAATTTACCGGTAAATTAAAATTTAATTTTAAAAATAATTAATAGGTTTTAAATAAAAAAACTTTTTAAAGAATTAATTAAGTAAATATTAATTAATGTAAAAAAGATAAAAAAATATATTAATAATATAAATATAATATTTATAATATTTTTGTTTATTTTATTAAAAAAGATATTAATAATAAAAAATTGTTAATACTTTTAAATTATAAAGTTTTTTTAATTAAACAAAAATATAATAATAATAAATAATTAACTTTTTTATTTATAAAAAAAGTTAAAATAAATGTAATAATAAAAAAAATTGGTTAATTTTACTTTATTACCAAAATTAATAATAATAATTTAAATTTTTAAAAACTTTTTATATTATATTTTATAAGATGTTAAAGCAAAAATAAGATATTTATTTATACCGGTTTATTATAATTAAATAATTAGTTAAAAAGTTTAATAAATTACAAAAAAAAAAACGGAAAAAATTTTATTTAAAAAAAAAACTTTTGGTAAAAATAATATTAATATTTAATAAATAAAAACTTTTTATAAAAATATTATTTAATATAAAAGTAATAATATTTATTATATTTATATTTAAAGTTAAATTATAAAATTTTTTTAAAATAAAAAAAAATATGTTAAAAATAATTATATCTTTTAACGTTATTTATATAAAAAAAAAAAATTATTATTATATAAATTTTTTAATATTTAAATATTAAATAAAATATTATATTTATTTAAATTTTAAGTTTAATATTATGAATAATAAATATAATTTTATTTTTTTATAATAATAGTTAAAAATTTATTAATTTATAAATATTTTTTTAAATTTAAATAAAATATATTTCTTATTTAAATATTATTAACGCTATTATATAAAAAAGGTTATTATTAAATATATTATATTAATATAATATAATTATAATAACCTTTTTTTAAAAATATTTAAAAAATTTAAAAAATTTATATTTATAATAAATAAAAAAGCTAAAAAATATTTTTTTAAATATTAATTATAAGATTATATTATTAATTTAGTAAAAAGAAAAATACTTTTATAAGGTCTTTTTTATGCTATAAATAAAAAAAAATTTAACATTTTTAAAATATAGTTAAAAAATATATTTAATATAAAACATATTTGTAAATTTATTTCCTTTTATATATCCTTAATATTTTTTATATTAAAACTTAATTTTAAAAATCTATTTTATTTAATGGTAAACTATTAAAAATTAAATATAATAATAATATTTATATACTATTTTATTTTATTTATATTAAAAATATAAAACTAATTTTAAATTTTATAATAATTTATTAAAATAAATTTAAAAATTAAATTTAATTTAATTTATATCCAATAAAATAATAAATAAAAAATAATATTTAAGTATAAATATAAATTTTATAAATATTTTATTATATTTTTTGGATTAAATAATGTGTTTATTATTTTTTAATTTATAATAAATAATATTTTTAAAAATATAATAAATAATAAATTATTAATATATATTAATAATTTATTTATATATATTATTATTTAAGAAAAGTATAATAAAATAATTAAAAAAATTTTAAAAAAACTTATTATATATTATTTTATAATTATTTTATATAAATATAAATAAATAGTTTAAAAAATAAAATTTTTAAATTATATTATTAATTTTTAAGATATTTTTATATTTAAAAATAAAATTAAATATATTATAAAATAAAAATTATTAATTAATTTTAAAAAATTATAATAATTTATAAGTTTTATAAACTTTTATAAATAATTTATTAAAGGATTTTTAATAATAATTAAACTTATTATAAAAATTAATAAAAAAGATAAAAAAGATTAAAAATAAATAATAAAAATGAACGAAATTTTTAAAAATTTAAAAGTTAAATTTACGTTAATATTAATTTTTATTTATTTTAATTTTAAATTATAAATTTTCCTTAAAATTGATATTTTAGATTTTGTTATTAAAGCCGTTTTTTTTTAAAAAGATAAAAAGGTAAAGTTTTAATTTATAACTTTTTATTTTTAAAAATTAATTTTAATAAAAATAAATTATAAAATATATAATAAAAAATTATTTATAATTATTAATTTTTTTAATTAATAAAAATATTATTTCGAAGAAATATAATATTAAATTAAAATATTTTCTAATTATTAAAATTTATTTTATTTTATAATTGTTAAAATTTTAAATAAAAAATAAGTAAAATAAACGTAATAATTTTTATTATATTAGTTTATTATTAATTATCGTTTTAAAAAGTAAAATAAAAAAGTTAATATTTTATTTAAATTATTATAATATTGATTTAAGAAAAGGAAAGTTAAATATTAACCGGTTATGTTAATATTATAAAAAAAATATTTTTTACATTTATTTAATTTTAATATAATATATTTAATAATGGTTATTTTTATATTAAATTATTTAAACAATTTTTTAACTTTAAAATAATTGCTTAAATTTATAAAACAAATTAAAAAATTAAAAAAAAATAATTTATTATATATAAAAAAAAAAGATAATTTAAGCAATGATCTTAAATTATAAAATAATTTTTTATATAAAAAAAAACGTTTGTAAATACTTTAAACATTTTAAAAAAAGGTTATAAAATTAAAATATAATATTTTAATAGTAAGATATATAAAAATAAATAAAATTTTAAAATTTATTATACAAAACTTTTAATAGTTTAATATTAAAATTATTATATAAAATTTTATAAAAAAATGTTTAAAATATTAACGTAATAAAATAAATTAATATATTTTATATAATTTATTTTAATTTATAAAATTATATTATATATTATAATATATTATTACCATAAATTTTATTATTAATTTATTTTTATTTAATAGTTGCGATTTTATTTAAATTATAATTAATTTATTTACTAAAATAATATATTTTATATTTTTTAAAAAAAAAAAAAAAAATTGCAAATTTAATTAAGATTTTAATTAAATTTTACTAAAAATTATATAAAATTCCTTTAAATATTATTTTTAATTAAAATTTTAAATTTATTGCCTATTTATAGCAAAATTTTTTTAAATTTATAAGTATTAAACCATAAATAAATATAACTTTTTATCTTTAAATTAATAATTAAATAAAATAACTTAATTAAACCTTTAAAATTTATTTTTATATATTTATTAACTATAAAATAATCAATTAAAAAAACTTATTATTAATAATAAAATTTACATATAATAATTTAAAATTAACATTATTATATATAATATCGTTTTATATAAATTATAACTTTTATTTTATAATTTATAATCCATTTACCAATATTCTTTAAAATTTAAGTAATTAATTATATATATATTAAATAAAATAAATTTATATTAAAATATAATAATATTTAAAAAAAAGTTATTAACATATAAAAAATTAAACTAATAAAAAAAAAAAAAAGTATTAAAATTTAAAAAAGATTAATTAGTTATATTAAATGGTAAAAATATTAAAACTAAGCAATTTATTAAAAAATTAAATAAAAAAATATTAAAATTCTTTAAAATTTAAAAAATAATTTTTTCTACCGTTATTAAATTTTATTTATTTAAAAAATAAAAAATCTATAATTTATTTTACGTTTTATTTATTAAATCTTATTACATTAACAACTAAATATTACTTAATTTTAATCAAGTTTTATAAAAAATAACCTTAATAAAATTTAAGGAATATTATATAAATAAAGTTAAAAATTTTATATAAATTTAAAAAAATATAAAATATTTAATTAAATAAAAAAGTTAATTAACTAAAAAATATTAAATATAAAAACCCTTTAATTATTTTAATAATAAAAACGTTAAATAAATAATTTTAATATTTTATTAATAAAACCTAAAAAAGCCAATAAACCTTTAAACTTTACCAAAAAAAGTTATACTTTTTACTTAAAACTTTAACTTAAAAATAAATTTAAAAAAAAAAAAAATAATATTATATAAACAATAATGCCAAAAAACTATTAATTAAAGAAAATAACTAATAAAAAATATAAAATAATTATTTCAAAATTTATTGGATAAAAAATATTATAAAATTATATAACTATATACAAATAAAGCCAACATATTAATAAAAACTCAACTAAACCAAAAGATACATACTTTAAATTATTTACAAATAAATTAAAATCTTTTCTTGGAAAGAAAGGAAGAACTAAAGACCTTAAGACCCTAGAAAATTATTAATAATCCTAATTATATTCTAAGCCCCTTACAGCCCTTATTACAAGGACTAACTATCTAGATTGAGTCCGATAGCTATATGTATCCGGCACGCAGCATTTGGTCTGCTAAGGATGGAGGAGGCCAGAACATTAATACTACTATTCATTCAAGAAAAGCCCGAGAATTATATTTGTGAAATCGATTGGAAAATATTGGCCTCTAAAGAAATGCGAACAAGCATCTTCGAGATAGATGGTATTGCGGAGGGTGAGTAAAGGAGAGCTTATTTATCAACACAACTTTCATATTCTAATAATTAGTTGCAGTACTCGGCCTCGATCACCCCCTTTTTAGAGCTCTAATGAGAAGGGATAAAGCTATGCTAGAACGCACTCTTCAGACAACATTGCTATCGCCAGATTCCTTAGTTTGCAACGGAATATTTGCGGTCCACATCGCAGTTTTTTGGCCACGGGGCTTAAAGATTCTCCTTGATATTTGGCCAAAAACTAATCTGAATATTATATGCAACGAACTCACACCCTTGGGATTGGCAATGTTTGCAAGCGGCGGTATCTGCCAAGGAAATCTTATCCAAGTATGCGAAAATTGCCCCTGCGCCGAATCGATTGAAATCCTATTAGACTCTCGTTGTCACGTCACCGAAAGCATCAATAAATTAAGAAGTTTAATTCCGACACGAGTTCACATCTCATATAGGGCTTTATTCACATTTTAAGCCATATAAAACAGTGGCGAGAGAAGTTGATGCGACTAGCACAAGATAACCTCGACGAAGCCGAACAAAGACAAGTTGGGCTTTGCTGCTCTCCAGTCCTAGATTACGCAGCGCCCAAAGTCATTCAAAGCCTTGAGGCTAAAGGTATTTCCCCATTCAGCGATTTACAACTGAATCCAGACGACTACCGCCTTTCTCATTCGTCGTATTCGATATATCATTGGATAAACCAGGTTTATGAAGCCGAGATTGCCTTTGAGCTAGGATTTCAGGATACCGACGTTTTCTATAGAGGAATAACCCCAATCATGCGTAAGAACGTTCCTCTTGAATACTGCGAATGGCTTCTTGCACATGGGGCGAGTATCACTAATATGGTACCTTTGATTGGCCAAATCCATCCCTCAGGCGATCCCGTAACCCTCTTACAGACATGCCCTAAAATAGCAGTTGCTCATTACCTCATGTACATCGCTGGCTCAGCTTGGTGTACGCCCCCTTACGATGAGATTCGTGGGACCGTAATACGTCTTGTTAACAGAATCGGTAGCTTCCAAGCAGATCATGTCTGCCAATGTGGTTGCACTGATAAGGAGCAAGGATGTAGTGCTCTATCCATTTTCCTCCGGACAGTTTTATCAGATCTAGATGGAATGATGGAAATACTGCTTCAACCAAGTCTGATAGAGGAGCTTAAAAATAGTGCCGTGCAGGGGTCTTCTTTTGCGAACATAACGATACGACTACTTGCGTTTAAAATCCTGGAAATCAGGCACACATGCTGCGACAAAATACTTAGCTATTGTCTAAAGACGCGGGGTTCCCCTCTTCGGAGCGTGCTGGAATCCCATATCGAAGACTTCCCTTACATTCGCGCCGAAGACGAACTTCTCTTGGAAGAGTTAGAAGAACTAGTGGCAGAGTTTCAGAGCCAATTTTATCGGGAAGAGCAGTCTCTTTCAAGCTTTATCGAAAGCTACTTGGCAAAGCGCATGGTATAGATCAGAATGAAAAAGGAAACTGAACTATTGACGAAGCAAGAAAGAGATGCCGCTGCAGAATTAGGTATACGACTTAGCGATGGAAATGAGGAGGGAACTTAAATATCAATACGTAAACCTGAAGAATCGTCTGAAGAGTTGTATTATTCATCCCGCATCGTGAGAGTGAGTGACGCAGGGCGGACATTGACATAGGGGTACCCTGGTTTACTCCGATACCGGCAAATCCCTATAAAAAAGATTTACCAAGGTCGGGGACTAATAGTCATATACCCACCTGCAGTTATTATTATATAGAACACCGTAGAAGAAATAGTCACTTTATACCCACAATCGAAGCTAGCTGTGAGAAAGGAATTATCAGACACCAACTCCGAAGGCCAACATGAGCAAAATCCGGCTTCGTCAAGAGGCAGATCTACCTGGCTGCGCCCTAGCTCTCAAGGCTGTTTATGCTACAAATGGATATCCAGTACACGGAGTAGGCGATGCGATAGGATTCCTACAGACCGACGATACGGCCTGGGTAGCCGAGAGCATTAATGGCGAGATCACGGGTCACATTTCCCTCTTTAAGGCCAGTCCATCCGATGTATCAGCAGCACTATGGTGGCAGTTACATCCTCAAGAAGAACAGCCCATCGCAATACTAGGAAGATTATTCGTACATCCTAAGGCCCGCGGCGGCGGAATAGCGAATAAGTTGATGCAGACTGCCCTTGACGAAGCGCAGCGCCGAGGTCAGAGGTTAGTCATGTTTGCCTTAGCCAATGTCCCGGATGCCATACGAATGTATCATCGGCTGGGCTGGGAACACTTTGGGACGACGGTTTTTAGGTGGAAGGGAGACGCAGGTGAGGAGCTAGAGATGGATGCCCAGTGTTTTGCGAGTCCCGTCTTGGCCGATAAGTAGTAAAGGTCGGAGTCTCGCTTTGGATCGGGTAAATCATATCCTCTCTGTTAACGTATGTTATTTTCTTGTAAGGTACCTAGGTACTTTAGTAGATTTTATAGACGAATCAATGTCACTTAAGAAGGCCATGTACCTACTAGAGGGAGAGCCTATCGACGATTAGTTATATCAAAATGATGATGGACTGCATGACGACCCACTATCGATGACCTACCGAACATATTTACCCCTCATCTTATCCTATTAAGTACCTAATCTAACCTATTAAAGGACCTTCTCGTCCCCCCTAAGCTCTCATACGAAGTTTCTAAATCTCTCATCGATATTTTCTTCGGTTTCTAACAAGCTCAACCTCAAAGTTTCGCATCACCGACACATCATCTCACTGGTATGGTCTTAGGAAGCACCTGCCATCATGGAGCTATCTCAGTATCAAGGTAACGTTGGACAAACGCATGGCGGGTGCTCGATGTTCTTCGATCCAGTTATAGCTTTCTCCTCTAAGTACCTACCTGCGTATTGAGGAGGAAGTCTAACTGGAGAGAGGCATCAGGGCTGAGATTACACCGTTCAAACTTGATCTGGATAATTCCAGCGAAAGGACATGCTGCTTTCCCTCTCCCCTATTAACCTGAGCAGCTTAGTATTAACTGTAGCAGTTTTTGATCCATCATGTCTACCGACAAGATCACGTTCTTAACCAACTGGCAAGCATGGAGAGATCTACCGTAGATGAGCATTTTACTAACGCCAGTAGGCACGCTACGCCGTATCACGCTCCCCTTTACCTCGCTCAGGCCAAAGGGTATTTCAAAGACGAGGGCATCAAGGTTGCTCTTCTCGAACCCAACGACCCAAGTGTATGCTCTAGAAATGTTGCATCATGCATAGATTTAGTGCTCATATCGTATAGGATGTCACCGAAATCATCGGCACCGGAAAGGTCGATCTCGGCTTCAAGGCTATGATCCACACTCTTGCCGTAAGACGCCATCGGATAATCGATTAGGTTAATTCAAGCTAAGAATCGTTGTATAGGCGAAAGCCCGTAACTTCCCAGTTCTGTCTATCGGATCGCTACTCGACGAGCCTTTCACGGGTGTCGTATACCTTAAGGATAGCGGTATTACCCCTGACTTTACGACTCTCAAAGGAAAGCGAATCGGTTACGTAGGCGAATTTGGAAAGGTGCCTACTTCATATACCCATTTCACCCTATAGCCTTGTATTAACTAGCCTCGCAGATCCAAATTGACGAGCTTACCTCTCACTATGGCATGACCCCAGCTGACTACACCGCCGTCCGCTGCGGTATGAATGTCTCCAAGGCCATCATCAAGGGAGAGATCGACGCCGGTATCGGTCTGGAGAACGTCCAGATGGTCGAGCTCGAAGAGTGGCTCGCTGCCCAGGGTCGTCCCAAGAGCGACGTTCAGATGCTGCGCATTGACCAGCTAGCCGAGCTAGGCTGCTGCTGCTTCTGCACTATCCTGTACATCGGTAACGAGAAGTTCCTGTCCGAGAACCCGGAAAAGGTCCGCGCATTCATGCGCGCAGTCAAGCGCGCGACCGACTTCGTCATCGCAGAGCCGGAGAAGGCGTACGCCGAGTACGTCGAGTTCAAGCCCATCATGGGCACCGAACTTAACCGCAAGATCTTCGAGCGCTCGTTCGCCTACTTCTCCAGGGACCTTAAGAACGTCCGTCGAGACTGGGAGAAGGTCACCAAGTACGGCAAGCGCCTAGGCGTCCTGGACCAGAACTTCCAGCCCAACTACACCAACTCGTTCTTGTCTTGGCCCCTTGATGGCGAGTCTTCTGACCCGACTGGAGATCAGAAGCGCATGGCAGAGCTGCAGAAGGATGTTGCTTCTAAGGGTGGTTTCCACCGTTTGGACATCAACGGCACCGCTGTTCAGGCTTAAGGGGTGCAGTTATACTCATAGCATTACATGCCCAGGAAAGTCGTTTCTCGCGTAGATTCGCTCCTTAGGTAACCAGAAAGCCCTTGGACACTCCTTGAATATGTCGCAAACTGGAATCCTGGATAGTTAGTTACTCTATACATGAATAGTAACATAAATTTGGGTAATCTTTCTTGGTGTAGTCGATGTGACTCGTCAACTTCAAGTGTTTGTCGTGGTGAATTGCTTTCAGCGTACTATAAGCCGTAAAATACCAATCATTCAACATGAAGCTGAGTTAAACGATACGTAAAGGGAGAACAAACAGAAACTACATACTGTAGGTCATTAGCCCTCCCGGCTTATTCATACCCGTGTCATAAACATGCCAAGGTCCACTCTAAGATTGACCTGTGTCAACCGATAAATATACGTGTACTCCACTAAGTAATCCCGTCCTGTTGCCCGTAGTTCATAGCCAAGTTCACGCTATCCCCATTCCGGTCGCGCTTCGCAACATCACATCGTCATCAATCCATTTATCTATCAAACATCTGCTTCTTCGCCCTCTAGGCTCGAGTCAATCAACAAGCTCTAGTTAGGTAAATATGGCCGACTGCGGACTCCCATTTCCCGTCGTCTGCATCCAATGCGGTCGAGGCGTTGGCCTTTGCGGCATCAAGATCATCGGTAAGTTGAGCGCTAGCCCCGGAGAGAACCCGGATGCACTCAGAAACGACTTACTCGTAAACAAATATTGATCACACGTGAACAGGCCCAACTATTGGCTTCTGCGTCGCTGTGCTAGCCGCAATTATCTGCTGGCCTATCGCACTTCTGTTCTGCTGCTTCACAGAGACGGGAAAGAAGTAAGTTTGATAATTATAACTACAAATTGCTTCTTGGGCTGTTTAACTCACGAGTAACCTTTTCCAGGTGGTTTTGGAAACCGTGCGACATTAATGCGAAAGTATCAGACATGTTTCCTATCTGACCAGCAAGGGAAAGCCATAAGCCTCAGAGTTATAATACTTGTGTTTCCTTAGGCCACGGCAGAAGGGGTTTGTTAGTTCGAGGGCAAGGCAATGAGTCGGATCGCTAGCAAGCACCCAGTGATAAGATCAAACTTCTTAATGATAATGCGGCTTCTTACGTCAAGATAGATAACCTTAGAGGTATTAAACTAATTCAAAGTCAGTCAAAAGCCACTATTGTGCGAGATAACTACATCATACTGGAGTCTACACGTGGAGATATGCTTCGTTTTTGGTTTACAACTTTAGCAGAACTTGTCCTACAGCGGCAGTCAGATGTAGTCCCAAAGACAGCATTCATAACTACAAGCTATCAGAGCCACATAAATTGACAGCTCCACGTGTTGCGTAATATTCCAGAACTATGTTACTAGAGACTGACACTAATACTGGAACCTTCCGTAAATATAAGTCATACTTAAACATAAACCAAGCCAGCTGCTTTACTCAATATATCACAATTGATGACATAGTTTTCTTGCTTCACGATAAACATTTATATTTCCGAGTTATCGTATTAGGAATAAGTGTATATCGTCAATCCTGTAGGTATTTTTAAAGATCAATACGCTGTAACGTCCTGTAACTAGCTCTAATTGAAAAGAATCGCCACCTTCTTTAAGGGGGCAACTAAAGCAAAACGGCAAATTCTATAACTAGCGTGATCTACAACCACTGTTTCGAATTTGAGGCATTAAGAGAATATAGCATATTAACTACCTCTTAGTTCAGGGCAGACACGCTATCCCCGGGCGCCACCCATACTTGATTGCCCTAGTCCGGAGAAAAGCTCCTATGGCCTAGAACCAAAGTGTGGAGGAAAACAGATACTTTCATCCTCATATGCGTATAGTACCTAGGTAGGTACCCATATATATATATAAGACTATACTGTTCGCATGATTTGTTAAAATTTTCGGAGGCGATAGACTTGGTATAGTGATGCAAACCTCTTGGAGGAAGCTCCGTCTCGGTTATTCACTCGGACATGCCGAATCTCTATCATCCCCGCGATGGTGAGGTAGCCCGTCTACTTCCGAAAGCACGTGCAGTAAATATCATGACTCGTAAACCGGGCCGTGTCAGCTAGTGGGTATAAGTTATTCGGTCCGGAAAAAGGAGTAAAATTTTTTAACTCCCATCTGAAGCCCGTCTGACTCGGAAAATGGAGACGAGCCCACTACGGCCGCCTCCGAACCGTAGACAATCGTCCGTAGCAGACAGACGGAATGTTTCAACTAATGTGAGATGATAGATGACACGATACAGATGACACGATTCAAATTTACCCGCCATACTGGGCTATAGTCATCAGTCCGACAAAGATGAGGTGATGGTATCAGATTCAGCCGCCTCGAAATGACTATAAGATGGGCAGAACCCATCGAGGTCATGCTGCTTTCTGCTTTCTCGTCATCACACTCGCTGTAGTTCATTCTCTACCTACACAACCAATCTTTTCAACATAGCAAGTCATTCTTTACTTGCTGCTTCTCTCTGCCACACCGGCGTCCTTCCTTTCTTTCAACGATTAAGAAAGTAGATATAACTACGTTCTCTGGACTCAGGAACTCCTCCTTGACACCTCTACGGCTAGATTTACAAGACAATCTCAAAGGCCAATTTAACCTTCGAGATATTCACATCATATCGACATTCTCTTACAACTACACTATCATTAACCACTCCATCAGTCAAAATGGTTTCCTTCACCACGATCGCCGCTGTCCTATCTTTCGCCGTGCAATACGCCATTGCCTTCAGCGGAGACCTAACTTACTACACACCCGGCCTCGGATCTTGCGGCGAGACAAACACAGAAACGGACATGGTAGTCGCGCTATCGCCCGTCCAGTTCACCACAGATCCCCAGGCCTGTGGCAAGAAGATCCAAATCCACATGGGCGACGCAACCGCAACCGCCACCGTTGTCGACAAGTGCCCCGGCTGCAGCGCCGACTCCATCGACGTCTCGCCTGCCGTCTTCCAGTCCCTCGCACCTCTGACCGTTGGCCGCGCCAAGGTTGAGTGGGACTACGCTACATAAGGTCGTCCACCCATCACACTCGCGGTTTAGGCGGAAGTCGTCAACCGAGAGTCGAACAGGTTTCGCAGGTTAGACGAGTAGACGTTACCTACCTACCTACCTAGGTACCTATTCTACTTTGCTTTTTGCCGGAGGAATAGAATCGATGTGCGCTGTGGCTGTGCCGGACATAGACCTTCGCAGCACGATTCAGACGGACAAAGAAACAGGAAATATACCGCACCGCACCAGACTAGAAGGTGCTGATTTTTACTAGTTTTTAAAGAGAATGAATAGACTCCAACACACTCACCCTCGTGGGTGGTTTTTTATATATAATCTTTACTCCAATCTCCCATCGTGAACCTGGCCGATGTGAAACTAGATACATGCAAGAAAGAGTTATTTTAATATGTCGAGTATATGACTCGACGTTGTATTTCGTTAAGAGACGAGATCTTGTCTTTTGCTGAGATAGTGCCATGGTATTGTGGTTGAACATTGCCCCTTATTCAGTATTAAAATGCTCTAAAGCGCCCCTGAGTCATCCGTATTGATTGAAGACAAGAAAAACTGCAGATGATACTAAAAATGAATTCGAAAATAAAAAGATAAGTAGGTACTCAACTAGGATTTTGATTTTTAAGAAAAAAAAAAGAAAGGGGTTCATAGTGTCGAACAAGGCTTGTATATAAATTATTGTCTTCTCAGCGGTACTAATAGAGGGTAGTTACACTAAATACATGTATACATTAGTCGGGAAAAACCTCGAATTGAACGGTATCCCTTTGCTAGTATTGAATTACGAGATTGATGAACAGATATTAGAACCTCCTAAGGTTTTTAAACATGAACAGCTCTCAGTCATGTTTCACGAACTCGTACACATATATCATCACTATTGCACATATCACTATAACAAAGTCCAAGAGATAGTATGTGAAAGTATGGAAACTCTCAATTCGTAACATTATGATGATAAAAGTCCAGCTTCAATGGCAAACCACGCCATCATGTATCCGCTCCATTAACGCCGCCTGTATACCCAAAGTCCATTTTAATCCGGAACTCCTACGGAGAAAGCCTAATCCGCTTTCCGCCACCAAGTTCCGTCATTTCTCTTTCCCGTTTTGATGTGGTAGTCACCGATAATACAAGGTTTTGTGTTGGTGTCTGTTCTCCAGGAACGCTTGATAATCCGAGTCTAGAGTCTGGCGAGGAGGCTATAGTCGCCTCCTCCGATACTAATAATTTCCGTTCTTCGACAGTGATTGCCCACAGTAGTGTGAGCAATACCTCTCGCGACGGTAAGCTGGTGCCGTCTGGCCACGTCTGCGGTCCACGGCTCTGATCGCCCTTGATACCCGGGGATCCAACTGCCAGCTCCTCGACTCGGTCATCGCGTCCCTTCTCAGATACCAACCGCAATAACCCCATCGTCGCATCCTTGAGCGGACGCGCCAATATGGGGCTGCTGGTTAAGAGCTTCTGAAGGGATCTGATTCTCAGAGTCGAAGAGGCTGAAGGCTGAGTCCGGGTGTTCTTGGGCAATCGAGTCGCTTCCCGCGGTCGCGCCTGGAACTGCGCCGCTGACGTCGTCGGTACTGAGGAACTGGTCGAAGTCGAAATCCGGAAATTGGGGGGTCGAGTTACTAGCCAGATTATTGTACTCAAAATCGAGGGGGTCGGATGAAGGACTAAATTGGCCTTGAGCGCTCCACGAATCAACGTCAAAGGGTGCCGAAAGGCTGAAAGCATCACCGAAGAGGCTATCAGCAGCGTTTGAAGCTGTAGTAAGAGTGACACCACTGGAGGCGACGGTTGTCGCGAGGCCTTCCACGACTGCGGAACTTCCACCGACGGACACTGCTGGCCGCACAACACCGCTGCTGGATGTTGTGTCTCGTCGGAAGTAGTCGCAGAAGCGGGGACCGTCGCGACCTCTTCAGTCGTCGACGTTTCGGGGAAGGTGTCATCAGGGATAGGGGTTAATTCAGGGGATAGAGAGGTAGGATCGACAGTGCCGTCCTGCTCGGGCATGAGGATAAAGTCATTGATCATGCCAGACTTGTCTTGTGCCGTGCCATCCTGAGATGAACCAAATAACGGCTGAGATAAAGTTAGGGGAGAAGGCTGAAAGCCGTCTAAAGGGGACGAGCTACGGCTAACGCCAGAGCCTCGTCGGAGTTTATTTAATTCATCCATCAACATTTCATTCGTCTTCTGCTGATTACGCAGAAGCTCTTCTAGCTGGTGATTCCTTTGTTCCAAGGCCTCCACCTCTTGACGCTTACGTTCCCGAGAAGACTGGGCAGCACGGCGATTCCTGAGAACTCGCTCGACTCGACGTTGCTCTTTTTCATCTTCGGTCTTTGCCCGTTTCCTATTGTGTGTTAGCCAAACATGCGTCTTACTTATCCGGTTATAAGTGAGTGATCATACCTCGGGGGTAGGTTTGTCTTAGGCTCTGGGAGGACTTGACCCCACGACTTCCGCTTCTTAACCGGCTTCTTTTCGGAACCCTCGGGAGCCGGGGACGGGGTGGATTGTATTGTGGCCGAGTCCGCAAAACTGTCCTCCATAAATGATTGAGGAGTCATGACGCTCTCCAAAGGGTTTAGTGTAGAAGGCGTAGCGAATAGAGAGGGATACGCGTCGCCAGGTACTGACATGAGAGACTCTGCAGGAGAGGTCTCAAACTTGACTTGAGGAGTCGTCGACGTCGTCGTTTGTTGACTTTCCCAGGTAGCCATATTGAAATTGATTCAGTTTGGCTGTTGATAGGAGGACTTTGGTTCTTCTGATTGTGTAAACTGGATGCAAGCTAATTTTTCTCGTAGCTTGGACCGGAATTTGAAGATTAAGGCCGTAGCCGCAGAAGATAATAATAATAATAATAATAATAATAAATCAAAGCTGAAAGTAGAGAGGTGCCGTCCTAATTCCTCAATACAATAAACAGCAGATTCGCCTCTGCTAGTGCATTGTCTAGCTAGGGTACGAGGGTACGTGAATGACTCAGGCTAGGCTACCGAGTCAGGTGAATGATAGTAGGCGGTGGCGGTAAGAAAGAAATAAGGACACGGTGGCCACTGGCCTCGAAGTTAATTATATTGTGATTGGTGGATTGTTGGGTGATGATTGTGCTTGGTTTGGTATTGAGTAGTTACTTGAACAGGATGGGGAGACAAGCGCCTCTCTTTATGTTCAACGTGTCCTGTTAGTAAGGAGGTGGGTTGAGTGCCTGAGGCAGAAATCGCCCCCTGTTAATTCTCGGATGTGTCAGCTATAAGTGGGGCCATGGAAGGCTACGTACCACCCCCCTGCGCTAGTTTCTGTGTTGTGCTGTGTGTGTGCACCTTGTCTGGTTCTGTGCGACAGGGACTAGGATTTCGGGGGCAAGAGGGAATGCTAGGGGTTGATAGATCTGAACAAGGCAAGTGGATCTGTGGTACCAAGCCACCGAGACGAATAAGATCTCCCTACCCCCAAATACCGCCCGCCCTCTCTTGCCTGTGCCCTTCCACCGTCGAACTGAACTTCCCTTTTCCTTTCAGTTCCATCTAATAATTTAGGTCTACCTATCATCCGGCCCGGCGCGGTATTAGTAGTATTGGTAGCCCGGAGTCTCGTGTTACATCCCTTTTCGAATTTGTCCAACTCTCACGTTCAATTAATCAATTTACTCAAATCGGTAACGAAACCTACCGGAAGTGTTTGCCTCTTACAGCATCAGTCTCTCCTAAGTACCTATTCTATGCAGAATAGAATATCCACCCAAAGTACCGAAATGCATCAGAAATGGGGATTATTGTGTTGTCAAACTACATACCTATCCTATCTCGTCATTCTACATTGCAGAAGATAGTCGAATCCCCCTGACGAAACTCAGAGGTTGATCCTCTCAGCCTCTGGCTTTTCAACGCCATCTCCACCAATCGAAGCCTATCTGGAAAAGCTCCATGGCTTAGGGTGGTTATTATTAGCAACCCACCTGGGTGGGCTGGGGGGACGTGTTGGCCCCAATTCATGTCAACCCGCCGCTGACTTGCAGCTTGCTGTCGCCCAGAACCCTAACTCTCACAAAAGAACAATTGTTGGATTATGTTATTCACGACGTAGAAAAATAACACAGAATCTACACCATCACAATTAGATCGATTGAGGATTTGACGGGAACAAGGTCCACGATCGCACTGGAAAGCTTCCATGAAATCCGTACCTTAGGTACATAGGTAGGTTAGGTAGGTAGGTAAGGTACATGTAGGTATTCAGATTCACCTAATGACTTTCAAAGTGATTTGAGTAAATCCACCACAAACTTAGAGTAAATGCTTAGTTTATTCGGCTTGCTATGGTTAAGGCAAACCCAAAGCGGCCTCCGAGTAGAAGAATTTAGAAGGCTAATATATTTACAATTAATCGACATCTGGGGTATTAGCCTGTATTGCTGCCGAACCAAAATGGCCGGCGAACCGCGGCGGAATGACTACCGAAGCCGTCCGCACAACCTAGCATCACAATTTGACAGTGGATGATCCGGGGAAGAACCAAATTTTACGACTACAAGTCTTTAGTTCAACCAATGGGATATTTTGCTAAGAAAACGGCAGTCTCTTACCATGTGGCGTTCTAGATATCCGTGAGAATTTCTATGTTGGTAGAAGAAGATGCGGCACATGCAACACACTAATAAAGCCGGGTGAAATGCCGTAGTGATCTTTGAGGCTATCATTAACGGGAACACTCGCTACTCGACCTAACAACTTCTAGGACCTATGACTAATATGAATAGTAGGTTCAGTCTATACCGATTAAGATTTACTAAATTTACGTTGTTCTACGGGCTAGACCTGAATGCTTCTATTTAGTCTAAGATCTAAAATCCCATGATCCTTCAGTACAACATACAGCCAAAATTAGTCGCTGGAGAATCACGGTTAGTATAAGAATACAGTCTCTTACTTTTAGCTAAAATCCCGCCATCTAAGAATTACCAACAACTACATTCAAACCTCCCT